CCGTGAAGATTTCTAAACAATCCAGGCTGATCCTAGGTCAGAAGATCTTTCTCTAAAAACTAACACTGGGCTTCATTGCTAAGGACAACTTCCACACAGCTCACTGAACATAGAGAGCTCTAGTTTATGCAGGCTTCGAGCTTTCATCTGTACATTCTAGTATATCTTTGTGGTGAAAAAATACTCTGCAGGGATAGAAAGAGAATTCTGGACTCTAAACGAGGTGCAAAAACTATCACCTACAATTTGTCTTGCCAATAAAATGTAGTAGGAAATGGGGTCAGAATCTGTGGGAGTAGCCAATCAATGGTTATCTTTAGGCCAATACCAGGAGACGATTTCCATGCCCTACACTGCCTAAATGGCCAGGAACCTGTGACTGGATAGACCAGAGACATAGGGTAGGATTATACAGAACTGGCCAAAAAAAATCAATGATATGATTCCTAATAACATTCTGCTGTACTCATAGATTTTTGTCTTATGCAGTCACTATCAGAGAGGCTTCCTCTGGCAACAGATGGAAGCAGGTACACAATCCAACAGAAAAACATGAGGAGAATCTAAATTGGAGGTTTCCAATGAGTCCCTCCACTTGGAGATGGGGAACTCCGCGGGAAAAAAATGGAAAGAAAGACTGTATGGAGGATACCAGGAGAACTTGACCCACTGAGTCAATAAACAAGAGATATTTGGGCTGACAGATAGTGAAGCAACAAGGATGGGTCCTACAGGAGTGTGTACCATGTCCTGTGCATATATGTTATGACTGGTGGTTTGGTGGATTTGTGATACTCCTCACAGTGGGAGCAGGTCTATCTAACTCTTTTGCTTGCTTTTGGGACTCCTTTTCTCCTATTTGGTGGCCTTTTCCAACCTCTATATGAGGGCTTTTGACTTGTCTTATTGTACCTTGTTTTGCCCACTTTTGTTGTTATCCTTTGGAGGCCTGCCCTTTTTCTGACGAAGAAATTGGGGGAGTGTATCTGGAGGAAAGAGAAGATGGGAGTGGCTTGGAGGAGTGAAGGTAGGGGAAACTGTTATTGGGAGGTGTTGCATGAGACTAGAATCTATTTTCAATAAAATTTAAACTTTATTTCCTCATAAGCACTAGATTTATTTGCTTCTTTATCTTCACTGTGCCTGATAAGGTAAAAATGTTGAATCTGATGAATAGGTCTTAAGTAATTTTCACAAAGTTATTTGCTGGCAATTAAACAGGCACATTACTTTTCTTTCTTTTTTATTTCAAGTGTTTGTATCTTTTATAATTTTTAAAGCAATCTTATTTTACTTATCTATCCCAGTTCCCTCACCCTCCAGTCTTCCTAGTCCTCTCTGTTCCCATCTACTACTTGGAGAAGGTGAGGCCTCCCATTGGGAGTCAACAAAGTCTGTCACATCATTCGAGGCAGTACCAAGGTCCTCTCCCTTATATCTAGGCTGATCAAGGTATCCCTTCATAGGGAATGTGCTCCAAAGAGTCAGATCATGTATTAGAGATAAATAATGACTCCATTGCACTAGCCACAGAACTTCCCAAGCCACACAACTGTCATCCACATTCAGAGGGCCTAGTTTGGTCTTCTCGTGGTTCCCCAGCTGTGAGTCTGGGGTCAGTGAGCTAGCTCAGCTCCACTATCTCTGTGGGTATCCCCATCATGGTCTTGTGCTCTTTGCTAATATTATCACTCCTCCTTCTCTATGACTGGACTTCATGAGTTTGGTCCAGTGCTTAGCTGTGGATCTCTGTATCTGCTTCGATCTGGATGAAGGTTCTCGAACCTCAGCAAACTTGTTTACAATATTTGTTACTCATTTGGACGTACAGGCCATGCACTACAAATAAAATATGTGAGCAATGTAATTGGGAACAATAAAAATGAAAATTGAGGCACTGGATGAATTCTGATGCAGAAATACCACATCACAGTATTGCTTTTAAAAAGTTGTATCCTAGGGAAGAGGTCATATATGGAGTAACAGGACTCAGTAGTCATTAATTCATATGACTCCAAATCCATGATAGAGAACAATTGAGATAAGTCACAAAGGCAAAAGGATTTGGTTTCCAAAATACTCTCATAGGAATTAGGCAAATAAGAAAACATATCATGTGGAGAGTGGCAGTGGATGGACTATAGTTAATCCTGGATGTGGAACAAGGACTTCATTTTTAAAGAAGAAAGGGAGTAAGAGAACAGAAGTACAAAGTTCACAGTGATATGTGATTGTTTCAAATATAGAATGAAAGAGACTCACACACTAACAAGATGTTTTCAGCCATAATTTCATGGAATTTCTGTATTTCATACAGTAAACATTTATCAATTACTTAACTTAATGAATTCAAAATGCTTCTTCTTTTGCTCCTTTTGTTCAGTTTAAACTCATCATTGTAGAAGCCTATAAGTCTGTCTATATAACTATGTTCTTAAAGCAGGACACCTGAAAAGTGCATGCTTGTACTAATCATAATTATGCTGGGAAACCAGGTATAATTAGACAGCTTTAGGCAAACCATGACATAATATCAACTTAGTCCTACATGTACTAAGGAGATATTTTATTATGCAGTCCATGTCGAAATCCTAGCCCAGGGTGTCTGAAGCTATGAATAATACTAATAATACCTATAGCTATCTTGGCAAGTTATAGGAAGAATTAATGTTATTCATTTAGAGTGTAGAAGATTGTTTTAAACATACAAGAAAATCCCTAATAAGTACTAGGGTAGGTTGTATTTAAACTATCTAATGTTTCCAATTTATCCTTTCATCCCAGTAAATTATAATGACATGATCAAAATGGAATTTAGGTGAACAGTTACTCAGCCACTATCCATTCTTTCCTGAAACCAAAGAATTGAAACATATTTTAAAACAAAATACAATCTCAAAATAAGAGCTGGAAATAAATTTTTGAAGACAGATTGATATGGATCAATCCACTTTGCTGCTTTTTGTATAAGGGTGTTTCTGAAGACATTTTGAGGGATGAGAAGCATATGCCCATAAATGATGAGCCTACTAAGCATCAGCTACAGGTAAATATTTAATATTACATTAAGGAAATTAGTGGGAGTACTATTAGGAAAATTTGAATGCAAATTAAGTGACTTTCTGATTTATTTGTGTAATTATTTTTTCCACTCCATCAGTAAAGAGTGACATTTCCACCACTGTAATGTTGATACTGTGGATTTTGCTGCCTAAATGGGCATTAGGTTATTCAAAGTTTGCAAACCATTTGACTGGACCAAACATCAGCAGACATTTCTTTCTGATGTGTCAGATAGGTTTTGTGAGGAGTCATAGAGTTATATTTTTAAAGACTGTCTTTGTCATGTGAGAGAAGTCATAGATGACAAATGTTTGAGTAAATGGGTCTGTTATAAATGAAGTCTCTGAAATTTGAATTTTATATAATTTATATAATTGCAAATCATAATATATTATTCTTCTGATTATTTTAACCAATTAAAATATAATATCAGGGCTGGAGAGATGTCTCAGTGTATATGCCATGGAAGCCTGGGCACTAGAATTCAAATCCCCATGGCAGATATAAAATGTGGGTATAATAATGTACTGCCGGTGCTCCTAATGAGAGATCAGAAGCAGAGAAAGGAGAATCCCTAGAATCTAACATTTCAGTTACCTAAGGAGTGGTGAACAATGGCAACAACAACCACAGAAACAATTAGGAAAACAAAAACCTGCTTCAAAGAGTGGAATTCGAGAACTTGACACCAATGTTGTCCTCTACTATCAATACACACGCTGTGGTATGTACATGAACATGCTCACACAAAAAAGTGTGCAACCTCCACACACCCATATAGACACATAGCATACACATATATACACAAAGCTAAAAAATATGAAAAATTTTAATTTTTAGTTCATCACTCACAAAGAAAATATCAGTAGGTTTGTTGTTGCCTAAGGCCTTACATATTTGAACTACACAATTAGCTCAGAAAAAAAATGACATTTTCAAGATGAAGAAGCCCAAAATTCAGTTTGGAATTTTCAAATCAGATTATAAGTCATGAATGAATGAATGAATGAATAAAATGTACCTTATGATGTATTCAGATATCTTTTTTAGGTGATTCTTCTTCTTTGCTAAGAACATTTGATATACTATTTTTAGGTATATATTCTTCCCATACATCTATATTCTGGTATATGCAAATTCTAAAGTCAAGTGTTCTATACATTCCTGAGCATATGGTACATAGAAACACAAGGCATATTGCAAGGAGCTTTCTTAATCTTAAAATTACAATAATGGATATAGTATGGAAATTGTACTATTTTATGATTTTCATGCTAGTTCTGCATTTATGAAATTTTATTGCCATGATTTTAATACATCCACTGATTTACATAATACGTAACTTATCTACAATGTGTACTTAAGATTACTCACAAAAAGATCAGTTAAAATTCTAACACCTTCAAGATAAGACTTTATAAATATCAAAGAACAGAAAATCTGTTCCTAATTACTTCTGATTTAGGATGTGCAGATTGAGACATTATGCTCTCATAAAGCAGCAGAATGGAGTTCGCCTATTAAAGGTGTATTTCTTCATGAAATTACAATTCCCATTACTAGAAGAAAGTCATTTGATGCAAAACTAACACCTGAACAAACAGGCCTTTTATGACGACACAAAGCAAAGCTGGACATTTTCAGTTTTAAAATGTGTCACGGCTATTCATTACTTGTTTCTTCCTTCGATCCAGAAAACAGCACTTCCATTAAGCCGTCAGTTATTGACAAAATGATTTCTCGAATACATTTAAAAACGTGTCTCATTGCTTTACTCAATATTTAATTGTCATTACAAAATACTTTGTAAAAAAAGTATTTGTAAAAAGCTTTGGAAGATATGAGGCAAATATAAAACATGACTCAATGTAAATGAGCTTTCCTGCTTAAAACTGAGATTTCATCTGCAAATAAAGTCATGAATAAGATGTTCTCACCTTTTCCTAATTTCAGAATCCACAGTAATCTGCCTCTTTTTTTGAGGGGGTGGTGGTGGAAGTTCCTCTTGGGCATGTTTTACCAGGATTTGTTCCCTTGTGGTCACCATAGTTACTGTTTCCATTACAGTTGTCTGTGTTAGTGATGGCTGAGTGGTGGTGACAGCCTGTGAAATCTGTGAGAAATATTGAAACAGAGGTCAGACACCGCTCAAAAGACTTTGGTAAAGACTGCTTGGAATAGTGAAGGAAAATAATGAGAAACTGTTCCTGCTTGTTGGTAGATTGACCTTTAGATCCAACTAACTCCATATTACACCAGAATCAAATCATTTTATCTGACTTAAGCAATGATTACTGAAACAGAGAAGTTACAGAATCTCAAAATCAGAAGTAAAAAAATGACTCTTGAGTATATTGGAAAAACTTTAGAAAGTAAAGGAACAAAGACAAAGAATTAGGATGCTACTATATCACTAAGACTTTGCTGATTATAGTGTTTACAAAATTCAGATATATTTGACTAGAGTATCTGGGCACAATTTCTAACACTAGGAATATTGTATATGGATGTCAATAGTCTTCTAATTATTTCAGATAAAAAAGAACTTGAATGAACACAACCCCATAAAAAGAAATAATTATATTAAAAACAGTTTAAAATGCAACTTTCACTTCACCATGAATATTTTGTTCAGTACAAATTTAAAAATAGTCAGTTGAACTTTGGAATAAAATGCTATTTAATAAAAAGTGGCATCTTTTATACTTTCAGTAAAATGCTAATATATAGTACTTACTAATCTATAAAGTATCTTTGCATTTTATGATTTTCAAAAGTTTAAGTTTAAATGCTCTGTGTATAAGTTGCTGAAAATGTTCAAACACATGAGTTACTGAATTTATCATTAGAGTCTTTTATTTTAGGATTGCACTGTCCTTCAGATCAGACTGTTTTAGAGACATAATTCAAAAATTTGTCCCACTATAATATGTGATACACATAATGACAGTTGTCAGCTCTTCATGCAAAATAATAGCAGATAGACAAGTTGTACAAAATGACATATTCCTTCCTTTTAAATTCTCCTTTTATCTTCCCCACAGTGTTCAGTTTATTATGACCATAAGTTACCTCTGGCACATTAATTACAGCCCTTCTGCAATCAATTTATTTGGAAGATTTATTTCCAAAAAGGCCAAAGAAAGCCAGTACTAGTTCTTGTGTGTTTATTTTTGTGCGGCTAACAGCAGAAGAACAGGTATTTGGCTAGCAAGAACTGGTTTTGGACATTCCTGCACTTCCTAAGAAATATGAGAAATGTTGAGTGTACCGTCCATCTCTGACTAAGTTTTGACCAATTCTTTCCATGGGAAAAACATGGGAAGAGTTGGGTATTTATTTCATCTTCCAAACTGGTCTCAAAAAAAAAATAAAATTATACAACAAGTTATCATCTGTAAAAATTGGTTCATTTACACACATTTAAAACTCTAGCCCTTGGACAAACAACAACTTCAGACTTGTTGAAGCCTTCTATATCAGAAAATTCTTTATGGAAACCAAGCAAGCATACAACTACCACCACAACAAAATATCCAATGTAAACCAACAGATACTGATCTCCAACATGTGCCAAATACAAATTATCTTTTATCTTTTCTGAGCGTTTCATAAATTCATTATATAGAATCAATCACAGAGCTATGAACAAGTTTAATTACTTATTCCAATGACAGGTTATATTAAGATTAAAGCAAAAGGTAACAGTTTTAAAGTGGCTTATAATATAAACTGAAATATAATTGCATCTAACACAAAAATATTAAATGAACAATTTAAGTTTGTCTTTATTCTTAAATGTAATTCTTTTAGGTTTTTACTGTGACATTTTTAAGTCACAAGGAAAGATTACATATAATAACTAACTGCTATAAGAGAAGATTATTTTTAGGTGCTCTGATTACAGACAATATGAAAATATAAATACAAAGAATATCTTTCAAGTTTATATCATGTGGAATATTTTGGTATGAGGTATTTGACTATGTAGATGACTTCAGTTATGTTAATATCTTTTTATTAATTCTTATTATAAAATTAAAACATTGTACATACAGGTTTAAAAAAACATGATTACAGCAAGACGATTAACAGTGAAATTGCATTTTAAATATATACACAGTCAAGGCAACCCATCTTATTGTATATTGTTTTGTGCTGTTAGCTGAAATCTCTTGGATGCCTGATCTTTTGTTAAAAGAAAATGGAGGGGAAGTGGAGCTGATGGTGAGGGGAGGTGGCAGGGAGCTAGAAGGATTGGAGGGAGAAAAACCTGTGGTTGGAATTTATTGTATGAGAGAAGAATCTACTTTCAATAATAAAACGAATATACACAGCCATGAAGAAATGCAGAAAGAAATGCTTAACAGTAGTAAAATACAGAATTAAGATGACTATATAATATCTTTACTACAACATCATGATTGGCAATGCTATTTCATTTTCCTTGGGGCAAAGATATAAGGAAACTACCACTACACTGATCCTGAAAAAAGAGGACAGAATTCATTATGTATAACAAATTAGTAATTACTTTCTAAACCTACTCTATGTAATCAGATCATAAAACAATTAGTCATATACTAAATTCTTCCATAGCTCTGAGTAATTGCATGGAAATGCTTAATTATTCAACAGAATCAGTATAATACGGACAGGATAGAGAATATGGAAGTCACTTAATCTAATGCCATGCTTACTATAGGAGTTGTTTTCCCAGAAGTTGAAGACTTTTTCCTTAGTTTGGCAGCCAAACTTCCAATTTATTAAGACTTTCTTAACTCCTAAAGGAATGCTATTTTATTATGACTTTTCCAGGTCAAATTTTCTTTGAACTCTGAACAAACATAGGACAATATGGGTATTGTTTAAAAGCAATAATTTTAGAGATAAAAACCCAATAAGCATGACCCTATTGAGCCCCATTTTAAAGGTCTGAAATGCCAGGGATTTGTTTAAACTGGCATTAACATGGTTGATGTGCCAAAACTAAGACTTCCTGGTTTTTGACACCACATTCAATTAAAGCAATCTAAAATTATATGCCATTTAGTAGATATGTTATAATATTTTAAATAAATTCAATAATTATCAAATATGTATCCCCTATAGGAATTCTAAATGAGTAAAATTGAATCACCATCTTCAATATTTTATACTGTATCAGGCAATGTGATAATCACAATAATATTTGTGAAATAAGTTCTGCACGAAAAATATAACTATGCAAGATTATCCACATACTAAACATATAGCAGTAAAGGACATTTTATTTGACATATTATAAAGCTAGATTTTCCTCAATCAATAGCTTAACTTATGAATTTATTTTGGTTCCAAGATAAGGATCTAAAATTCTCTGTCTTATAAATGAATACTGAGCAACTACCATAGGTAAGGGGAGCCAACAGTAAGTACTAACAGTAGTCGAGCAACTAAATTTAATTTTAATATTAACTACTCTTCTGTTTGGTCACAAATAATAAGGTAACAAAACTTCCTGAATAGGAACTGGCACTGGGACTATTAGAAAAATTAGAGTCAAAATACTCAAAGGACATCATGAAAGTAATCATTCTTGACTTTGAAATAAATTATTGTATAATATAATTAAGAGGGTTCTTTCCATGAAGTTGTCTCTTCAGTTTTATATATTTTGATCTTCACTTTAATTTGCCTTCAGTACAAAAATATATCAGAAGGAAAACATACACCGTGACTTCTGGATTCCTATTATATATATAGAATTTGAGCAATTGTGTTAGTGGCACCTGCAAAGTTCGAAAAGCAATGGTATTTATATTTTCGGATTTACCGGAATTTCAACTATGTACCATTTGAGATGGAATTGAGGAAATATTTTATAATTAGTGATTCTGAAGCATATAGCTAAGAACCATTTATTTATGTACCATTTCACTTATTTTCTGTAGGCAAAAAAAATGGATACTATAGATGGCAATTATTTTGAAGATATGTTCATGGTAATTAAAGTATATTAATGACAGAAGTCAATCTAACTTGAATAGAATGGAAATTTTATTTTTATCCTTATTTCCATCTGCCTTTGGTCCTCATGTAGATGAGATAATTTGGAAATTGCTTCACTAATTCATAGACTTATATATAATTTCAAGCAAAAAGGCAGATTCAACAGACATTAGAGACACAAAGGTTACTATAGAGATCAATTCGGCTTATATTCTCTTTTTGTAAATAAATAAGATATTACACTTTTCAACTCAGCCTCACTGAATCAGATCTCACTGCTTATAGTATTTCCAATGACTGTAGGTAAATAAAGGACAGCTCAAGACTGAGTTACATTCTTACATACAAATCCTTGCCAAATTCCTACTTTCTTTGGTGGTATCAATATGATACTTAATTTTCAGAGTAGCTTGATGCCCAACTTCACATTTTTCTAAGAAAATCTTTAATCTACAGAATTAGCCAAAAGATTCACTAAAATTCAGAGTGGTTAATCTACACATTTAAATAAGGTGGAATCCTAAAACAAGTGAAGTAACTGAACTAATTTAATTGTACTGATCTTTATGGTAAGATACTTATATATTCTTTAACTTGTCAATTGGAATGTTAGTTTTGGATAACTTTCTGTAATCATTAAAAGTGTTGTCAACAGCAGAAGCTTTAATTATTTTTGATTAAAATCCCTAGGAAAGGGAGTAACTATCCAACCCTAACTTCATCACTTGTATCCACATGTCTATAGGGGATTAGAGCTTCCTGATGTTGGTGATGGAAACCGCACATGCAGACTCTCTAGGAGCATTATGCACTCCGCACCAATTAGCCATCTTATAACCATGATCTTCTCATTTGTATTGTGGGTGCGCTGCAAAAGATAGCTCATGTATACTCATGATCTGTGATACTTGTTCTAAATTGGTAATAAAAAACAAACACCGAATATATATGTGGATATATATATATATATATATATATCCACTTTCTTTGGGAGAATAAAAGATTGCAAGAATGAACTCAGTCTAAATCTTGAATTCAGGTACAAACATATACAGCATAGACATCAACTTTTATGTTTGAGGACAGGTGAATTACGAATGTTCTAGTGTTATCTTTAGGCTATATATGCTAATAGTTGAAATTATCTCAAAAATAGTCATTAGCTGTGCAGAAATAAAAAAAACTGTGATATCAAAATTTATGAGTCATAGCATTCTTCGTATTCTGAAGAAGAAAGTTACCTTGCTAAAAAATAAAGACTGGAAGCTTTTGAATTTAACAAGACAGATGCTCCTATATCAAATCATCACATACTCAACTTTTAATATATTCTACCATATTAATTACAAAGCACACACCTCGCTTATCTTATCCAGAGTATATGATTTTAGATAAATAGCTATGATGATGATTCAAATCAGTTAAATTATATTTAATTTTCTTTATTAACTATACAGAAATGCAAATCATATTTCATAATTAAAATAAAGATAACAATATATTTATTAGGGTCATGGCATTAGAATACAAACTGTTCCTATCTCAGCATGCACATTGGTAAAAGCATTAATTAAAGACATAGTCATTGGTGTTTTCACAGAAGTCAATCAACGGTATGCTTCTTGTTCCTTCCTTTTCCATTTTAAGTATTCATACAACAAATAGTAACTATCCTTGCAATGTTTGGGAACAGGAAGCGTTCTATTTTCCTATACTGCTCTTTTTTTTTATCAAGTTTAACAGGAGTTGACTCTGTGATTACATGATTTTGGAAAATTTCTGGAGGAAAAACAAAAATAGAAATACATGAACAGCTTTAGGCATATTGTTGTTACAGGACAAGTCAAAAATTCTCGGCAAAGTTATGCTTCTAAAAATGTGTTTGTGAAAATTGTATCTTTCCACCTGGTTTTATCAAATAATACTGACCTTTACAATACTGGATCTAAGAGTTTTTGCCTTAATGGTTTATGAAACCAATGAAAACATATAGGAATGACAGTATTTCTGAATTAAAACTTTTCAAATTTACTAATGCTTCATGTTCTCAGAAACCTACAATATTGCAAAACATCCATAGGCAGGTCATATACAATAAAAGCATTAATAATAAAATTATGACTATTCACCTAAATTATTTTATGGAAAACAAATGAAATGTTTATTTTTAATAACATGAAAAATTATGTCTATATATTCACTCCTTTTATATTTTAAATATGAATTTCAATTTGAAAGGAAGATGTTAAGTGTAACTTAAAATCATGAAAGTGGGCTGATAATTTTCTTCAATTATACTTCTGGATACAGTATCTTAATTATTTTTGTCATCTTTCAACAAATATTTGTAGGTTCTGCATATCAGTTATCAAGTGTCAGGAAGACAAATTCTCTGTACTTATCTTGCACTAGAAGAAATACCTGCCTAAAATCTATTAAGGTTAGTCATTATTTTAAGAGTGGTATATACATGCTATAATGAGGTATGAGTTGTGATCAATTATCAAGAAATTTTATGATGAAATGTAATGGAAAAATTTATGTTAAATATTATCGTCCATATTTTTAATATCAACCAATTATACTATTATGTTAGAATTTTCAAAATACCAATATTTCCTTAAAATATCACAACAGCCTGGTCTCCAAGAGCTAGTTCCAGGACAGGAACCACAAAAAATGACAATAGTGGAAACTCACAACTTAAACTCATAATACAATGTTACTGTGACTTCCTTATTTTTCTATCTAAATGAATATATTTGTGTAACTTAGCCAAAGCAATGACACAGTGGACAGTGACGATATATTCCCAAATGTGTTGTTTAATTATGCCAGCATTCAGTTTTCCATTGCTAGGGAACCAGTAGGACAGTGATAAGATTATCCAGATTATCCAATTGGCACACGTACATCTGCCTCTCCCCAATTCTCCAGTGACACTATACACAAGTTAACCACGTTTTAAATTCAACTGAAGAATTGAAAAGAACTAAACTCATGACATATATTGAGGGAAGCAAATTTTTTTTTCTTAATGTAGTTCTCAAATATCTCCAACATAATTTACAATATGATACTTAACATCACTTACTTGTGCCGAACTCTTTTCTAGCTTTTGTGCTAAATTATCCCAACGTTGTGCAAAGTTTTCCATCCAGATTTCCATCTTTTGAGTCACTGACTTATTTTTCAGTGCTGAAAGGAGATCTTCGTTGAGGGAACTGAGTTTTTCCATGGTTTGCCTTTTCTTTTCTAGATCTATTTTCAACACCTGTTAAAACAAGAACAATCATGGGTCTTATTCGGGTCTTGCTTTGGTCCAGTATTTCTTTAGTATGTACCCATTTACCGCATTGGAATGGTAAAGTACATCCTATGCTACTATATGTTGGAAATATGTGCTTTGCTCTTTTTATTTTACAGGAGATTGCAATTAAATGAATGCCTGAAAAAAAATACGGGCAGTGGTGGCGCACGCCTTTAATCCCAACACTGGGGAGGTAGAGACTGGCAGGTCTCTGTGAGCTCGAGGCCAGCCTGGTCTACAAGAGCTAGTTCCAGGACAAGCTCCAAAGCTACAGAGAAACCCTGTCTTGAAGAAAAAAAAAAAAAAAGTAAAATAAAATAAATGATTGCCCGAGTCTCAGAAGGGACAATGGGCCTTTAAACAACGTTGAAATTGTGAAATACTATGGCGACTTTTAAAGTTATATCAACACAATTTGCATTCTGATATAGCCGCACACCTATGGAGACCAAGGAGTGGAATGTGGCAATTTGAATGAGAAAATGCCCTCTACAGACTGAGGTATTCGAACACTTGGTCCCTAGCCAATGGCACTGTTGAGGAGGTTTAGGACTTGTGACATTGTTTGCAAAAGTATGTAACTGGAGAAGCCTCACACCATGTTCAGTTTTCTCTCTTTGTTTTTTGGGTTTGAGAATGTGAGAGCTCCTACCTTGCTCCAGGTGCCATGACTCCTGTTTGCTGCCATGCTTCCTCACTATGCTGTGCTCTTAGCTCTCTGGAACAGTAAGGCAAATAACCTCTTCCTTGTACTTAAAGAAATACTATAATCCAATCACGTTTGCAAGCCTTTCTTTGCCCCTTTGAATAGCTGAGAAAATGTAAATTCAGCTGCACAGTGTCAAGGTAGATAGAACTCCAGGTAGAAAAATACAATCTACATAGACTCTCTTAGAAATCTGAAGATGAAAATCAAAACGTCAGATATAGATTTAAAAAAAAAGTTCACTTTAACATATTTGAAGGAATGCCAAATGAAAAACAGTCACCCCAGAATAAAATTCATATGGACACTCTTCTTTGTTTTTTTAATGTTTGAAGATACATGGCTCTTAGACATTGGCAAATTTCTTAATTGCTGATCAAATTCAAATGAATGCCATCATTTGTCAGGGTCATTGTTGCGAGGACAAAATGTGAATGGTTAAGGGGCTCTTTAACTTGGAAATGCCATGTTCTTTCAGCCAAAACTGAAGTATTGTTTTTTTTTTTGTTCGTTTGTTTGATTTCATCACAATTTTAACACTTATTTATCCATTAATAGAAATGTGTTGTTCTACAGTTTCCTAAATTTAATGTTTGTTTGTAACCATTATTCAAATAAGGGTGGCTATTTGTGCGATTATTTGCTTTTTTTTTCTTCCTGTGTAGGTGGCCCTGGGAATTGAACACACATTTCTTATTTATGTTAGGCATGTGCTCTACCACTGTATCCAATTCTCAGTTCTTGAGTTGCTGTCTTCTAAACTATTTAATGAGCCCGATTAAATAAAGAGATTAAGTCACCCAATATGAATCAAATCCTTCAGAATGTCTTTGCTTATTTTCTAGCTACTTGTGTGTTATATTAAGCAATTGTTACATTTTTCATTGTTTCAAAACTGATGCAAAAGGTTATCCCTGCCTTCGGGTTTCGTTGGAATAGATAAACAAAGTGTGAAATCAGTAGATTATCTACGAAGGTCACCCTTCACATAGAGGATTAAAATTTTCGGTAATCAAATGCTAGTCTCTGTCTGTGTTTGTAAACATAGAAAAGGAGAAAGAACGATAAAATCATTTTACAGTCTTTCTACAGCTCCATTTCTTCTGGCAGTAGCAAGTACCATAACTATAAACCAAATCTGATATCTATGACCCAAGAAGTTACCATGAAACAGATGGACGAAATGTCACAGATCAAAGTGTCATGCGCACAGAGTAATCAATACAACCCCCTATAAGGGAAATTTTATGCAGCTTATTTTGGCATGCCACCTGCATTGATAGCTCTGCAGTGCAGAATGTTCTAGTGTCTCTTGCAATTACTTTGCCCTTTTGTTAGAAGCTGTTTCCCTTGGAGGATTTTATGCGGCCTTTATGCCATATTTTGGAAAGGCACAAGTTGTGAAGCTAATTTCTATTTTTTTCTTAATCATTTCTATTTTCTCCATTCAAAATTATTATAATCTGAAATGTCAATTGAGATATAAGCTAAATTCCTATCAAAGCTATCAATGTCATACTGTAGTCCTACATAGGTTTGAGGAATTTTCTTGCTAAAATCCCATTACATTTCCATTAAGTTTAAGTAAATTCTTACTTGAGCTGTAAAGCTATAGTTTATATTACCTACCTAGAACTGAAAACCAAATTTGAATTCTACAGTAAATCCTTACAATTATTTTGTGGAAAGAATCTCATTTTCATTGTTTTCTCTTAAATTTTGTCATGTATTTACTTTAGTGCAAGAAACTATAGTTTCTTAATTTTCATGGTATGTTCTTATTTTTCATTTTAATTTCTTCCTGGGAGAGGTGTGACATATATGTATACATTTAAATGATAAGAGGCAAGGATACACATCAGTGGCTTATTTTTTCAAAGCTTAAGGAAGATTTTTAATGCCTATATGTGCAGATAAAGAAGGTGCACCTATTATTAAAGCTACATATGCAATGATTTAAACATTTTGTTAGGGGAATCTGAAAATCATGTTTAAAGAAGACTTTATTGGGAATTTCAACAGTGGGTGCGACTTCTATACCTACACACATGGCTACTTAAAATTCTTCCTAAAGCCTTGAGAAAAAAGTGCATCCTAGTTCTGACTAATTAAATGTAACTAAGATTCCTAGGTTAACATTAAAGCAAATAAAAAGCATTTAGCAAACATTGCAAAAATCAAAGTAAAGTCACTTTTAAAAGTACAAATACAGAAATAGCACTAAAGGTAAAATTGAAGCAGTAATTACAAAGAAATTATGTTTTGAATATACTTGAACAAATGCTTTTGTAGTATGATTGAGCATCTTTTGGGTATATTCCCAAGCAGCGTTATTTGTAATAGCCAGAACCTGGGAACAACCTAGATGCCCTTCAACTGAAGAATGGATGAAGAAAGTGTGGTACATTTACACATTAGGGTACTATTCAGCAGAAAAAAATAACGACATCTTGAATTTTGCATGCAAATAGATGGAATTAGAAAACACTATCCTGTGTGAGGTAACCAGACCCCCCAAAATAATATGATATGTACTCACTCATAAGTGGATACTAGTCATAAACAAAGGACATTGAGCCTATATTTCCTGATCCTAGAGAAGCCAAGTAATAAGGTGAACACAAAGAAAAACATATAAAGACCCACCTGGAAACTGGAAACAGATACGATCACCTGACAAAATTGAGAGTTATGGGGGCAGGGGGTAGAAGGAAGGGGAGAAGTGGAAAAACACACACACAAAAAATGGTTGTAGCAAAATAGTTGTTTAGACTCAATTTCTTCTCCCTCTTTTTTTTGTCGCTCTGTATTTCCAAGCCTTCTCTCTCCCTTCTCCTTGTCTTATCTCCATTGCCTTACACTTTCTGAAAGAACTCTTTCATAATTATTAGTAGTTGGAGTGAAAATAAATATGTAGCAATACCAGATATGTTTGATCATAAGTATTAAATTATCATCTTCTGTGTATCCTTGAGGTGAATTGTTTGATTTGTATTATTATTATACTTATCTCTCTGTGTGGCCATATTTGGATTTTATATTCAGGGCCTCCTTAATTCATACTATCCTATAATTTGCTAAATAAATTATGATAGCCTAGAACTTGAAGTGATTTTATCACTTTTTCCCATCTGATAGTGTTACAAGCATGAGCCACCATGCCTGGCTCACAAGATATTTTAATCTTAAATATAATGTATATATACACACTAAATAATTATAGTGTATTTTTCTCTAAAAAAAATCAAATCAAGAGGAAATATATAAATAGGGAGTTAAGTCTAAGTCTGCCAATACTAAGGACATATAGATTACTTCCTGAACATTTGTTCAGGAATAGCCAAAAATCTGAATCCAATCTCAGAAGCCCACATGAAATAGAAGGAAAGGACCAACATCACAAAGTTATTCTTTCGTCACTACATACAAGCTGTGCCACATTCATGCACATATGCATACTAACATACGTGTGTGCATATGCACACACAAGCCAATTTTTTAGAATATTTAAGCAAAAGAAAACTCTGGAAAGCTTACACAAGGCTAGAATAATAAAAGAAAATAAACATTGCATTTTCACAAAAGCCCAGCACCTGGAACTGCCTTTAAAGCAAACAGGAAACCAATGAAAGTAAATCAGGTTGAGGCAATAGTAAATGTAGAAAAGAGACAGATTATGCTGTTCAGTAAGATGAGAGCAGACAAGTTCTACCTGGGTCAAGGTTAGAAGATAAATTGAATTTGAAACAGGATATACAATTACAAAAGCTACAGGAAACTTTCACCCTCTTTTCATCAGGAGTGTGCACACGAGTATAATGCTAGCACAATTTCTCTTATACTGAAGGGATTGAATAATGCATTTATTTTTTTCTGCAGTGATTTATCAAAATATATAAAGCAGTCCATTCTATTCCAATCACCAGTTTCTTTACTGAAGTATGTTGGTTGATTGCAGGGTCTCTAAACGTCAGAGAATATTAGAATCATATAAAATGCTCACTGAAAATATAGATTCCTAGCCCTTCCTTGTAGCATATACAAGTCAGCACACCTGGGAAGAACCAAAGAATTTATAATTATTTTATTTTTAAGAATACAAATTTTGAAGAGATGCTGAAATCATTGACCTAAGTAACACATTTTTGAAAGCATTAATTTTGCTAAAATGATTTCATTGAGAGTCATCAGAGGAGTTGCTATCAGGGCACCAAATCAGTATAAAGCAGCACCTTCCACAAAGACTTTCTGAGCCTTCATATACATGGCATTTCTGTCATCTGATACAATAGCACAGGGAAATAAATGGCCTTTTGAAAACCTTATATGATATATTATTGGATTTCCATATTTCCCATTGTTGTCCTTCCCTGACAAGCAGATACAGTCTCCAGAACAGATTTCTTCTTGAGATGGGCTTTACTTGAATAAGTTATACAAGCCCTAGAATTCACCTCTTAAAGCCTGAGTTTCCTCTTCTCTTTTTAATATTTGGATCAGAAAAATATAGACATATATATCCATACACACATATATATCACAGATCTGGAAAAAATGAAATACCAAACTTCCCAGATAACAACACTAACAAAAATATTCAGAAATTACACTGCTTATTAGCGATAATATTTCAAAAGAAATTATTATGATTATAAATAAAAGAGAATTTTAGAACACTGAATCTCTACCTAGGCATGTAGTAGGAACTGGTAACAGATGGTACCTGTTTTGGGTCTCAGATTGTGACATATTTTAATGAACATTAAATTCTTATTCACTGCCTGAGTCAGCAGGGGAATTTTACCTCGGATTCTAGACCAGCTGTCAGATTTTGTTAATTGGCTTAAACTATCAAATGGTAAGACTCATACAAAACATATTTTCACTTTGTTCATAGCAAAGGTGACATAATATGAATTTTAATCACATTGAGATTTTATTGAGACTTCACTAAGACAGAATTTTCATCGTCCTGAGTCTGGGAAAGTCTTTTATTCACAAATGCCACATAGTAGCATATGATGGTTGGAAATGACAGTTTGGAATCAGAGTCACGTTGCTTCATCATAGTCACACATCACTTACATGTTATGGGGAGTTTGGAAAGGGCTTGAGAGGTCTCATCCTGAGTCTAGATTCTTTAGTGCTCCTTTGAAAGCAGCCACTAGTGGTATATAATACCTGTTATATATGGCATGCATAGATTTTCCTAGAACTCAAGGACCTCTTCTAAAATAATCCAAGTAGCTTATCTGAAAGAACTTTAAACATGTAATGCACGTGAGGATACACTAACTTTATAGCCTTTGGACTTTGTCACTCAGTTGCTAACAACTTAATTGATTGGTAAACCTAATCAGAGATAAAGTTACTAGCATGAAGCATTAGAATTGGTATCTATTATCATAAAAATACACAAACTATTCTGACATAGAATACATTCTGAATATGACTGTCAAATAAATCTATCTCAGATGTTCTGATATTATTTGGTCTTGATACTGCTTCATAATAAGGTGAAATCGATTTGCCTTTTGTGGAATCTGAGCAGATTAATGACTGTCTCAACCAAGTAGAAAAGCAATGATGTGAAATAAAGTTAAGTCTCAGTTGCAGGAATACTCTCTGTGTGAATTCTGACTACCCAAACACTCATGCTATGATGACAGTAAAGACAATAATGGCAAAGAAGGCTATTCAGAAACCACAGATCTTCCTAGCTGAGGTACAAGAAGGTATTAATGGAAGAGCACTTTCAGGTTATTCTAGTTTCAACTCATTTGGTTACTAAGAGTCTAAATATTGAGAATCAGCGATGAATCATTCCATTCTGTGCATAGTCATAGCGATCTACAAAACCCACAAATATAAGTATAAAATTCACATATCTTTAAAAAAATTAAAGTTATTTGCTATATATAGTAATAGTGACTCTAAGGCCAAACAATTCTTATCTTTCCAATGTTCTGAAGTAAGTGTTCTACAGTCTTTCTTATACAGATTTCTCTGACTGGTACTACATAGTAACTACTTATTCAATGCATAAAATGTGTGATTCATTCTGAATGTTAAGGGCATGACAATAAACACATCAGAGTACCCATATACATTGGGTTTGTCAACTTTCCACAAATTTAGACATAACTGAGAAGAGAGAATCTCTGCTGACAAAATGATTCGTTCAGGGCATCATGGAGCCATGTATTTGGAAGCATTTTTTGATTGCTAATTGGTGTGGGAAGTTTCACTACTAGGTGGGTGGACCTGGGTGATATAAGAAAGATGATAAAACTCAAGCATGGGAGAAAGTCAGTGAGCAGCATCCCCTCATGGCTTCTGCTTCAGTTTAGAGTACTCATATTCTCATCAGAGTACCTGACTACATTATCATAATTAGTTGTCAACAATTGATTGGCTCAAAGAATCCATCTTTTGTTTCAAAAGACTAATTTTCATACATTTCTGGCCTAAGGATACAGAGGCCATGCATTCTTTCCTCTAGAAAAGGTGCCATCTTTTCTCAGTTGACCTGTTTTTGTGAAAATGGCAATGTACATCACACTCTTCTTTATAATATTTATTTTCCTCACTTTCTTTAGGAAAAAGGTCTCATGTATCCCAAGCTGTCCTGGAATTCTCACTATATTGTGAAGCATAAGCTTGTGATCCTAACCACCCTGCTTTACCTCCTAAGTACAGCCAGTACACGTGTGTACGGACATGCTCGGTTTATGTGGTCCTGGGAACTAACAGGAATTCCTGCATGCTATGCAAGCACTTAACCAAATGAGGTGTATCCACAGACCTCTCCTGATTGTGATTATGTCATTTTTCTCTCTTCTTACAATCTTGAACTCTAGTTGTTCAATCCACTTATTAAGATTTGTCCTCTGTCCTTCACTCAATTGTACAGATTGCCCGAATTTCTACCTTTTTATTTATTATTTCACACTACCCAGTCTTTCTGTAGCAGGTTTAATTGTCCTCCATGAATTGACTACTGATGTATCAATTTCCGAGAATCTGGTGTATTTGTTGACAACTAGGTGTTTTCACATAGATGTGGCACTTTCACCTTAACATATGTGAATCTAAGTTGTCATTCTTTTCATTCAGGTACTTTCTCCTACACTCTCCTATTAGGCTACCTTGCTAGATTCCAGTCACCAAATTGAGAAGTTTGTGCACTATTCTACACTATTTGATTTTTATTGCTCAAACTATTGCTCAGCCCTATAGATGGAACGATAAATATGCTGTGTTTTTATGTATTACTCTGAGGATTACCTTTAAGTCTATCACTTTTAAAATATGTTGTTTAACATTTATAAGGAAAGCAAACAAATGCTTCGTAGTGCTGCTTTAAATTTACCTGAAGTTTTCCTCTGGGTATGCCTATAAAAACTATTTTGCTTAAAAATAATTTTAAAGTATATCTATAACTTTTACAAGTTTAAGAAAAGTATAAATAACCAAGCAGAGATGGTACAAGACTTTAATTTAAGCACTTGGAAGGCAGAGGCAGGTGGCTCTCTGTGAGTTCGAGGACAGTCTGCTCTATAGAGTGAGTTCCAGGACAGCTAGGTCTGTTACACAGAGATTTAAATCTTGATGAAAAAAAGGAAAGAAAGAAAGAAAGAAAGAAAGAAAGAAAGAAAGAAAAAAGAAAGAAGGGAGGGAGGGAGGGAGGGAGGGAGGGAGGGAGGGAGGGAGGGAGGAAAGCACATATAACAACTGTGAATAATCTGTAATGTAAGCATAAACAATGACTAAGTGATTTAAGACAAAATAGAATGGACAGTGTTCCAAAATAATTATTATATTATTGTGTTTTAAAAATGGTTGAAAGCAAAATATACCTACAGATATTTTTTGAAGACTTGATACCATTTCATTTTGGTCCTTAAAGCCACTTGTTTGAATCTTCTTCATTGCATCCTCTTTTTCTGAAAGCCATGTACTAAAACGGCACTGAAAAGCATCAAAGAAGAACTATTTAAAGTAGATCCTTTTGTTACTTGTCCAATTTAACACATTTTCAGCTTCATGACAGCCCCAATTTTCTCCTACAGAAGCGCACCTGTTCTTCAGTAAAACGCTGCCATTTTAGAAGAATATCTTGTAAAAGAACCCAGCGCTCTTCAGTCCACTTGCAGATATTTGCCCATCGATCGCCCAGTACCTGCAGATGGGAAAACAATCACATTATCAAACAATTGCCCAGCAACCTCATTTCAAATGGCAGAAGTGCTTTGCCATAAGATCCTATTATAAATGGCATGTAAAGAACAGTTTTCCTGTTTCTGCTCATAATTAAGTAAGCAATGTGCCTTTTATATACTTTCAGACAGCTTCACTCTTTCTTCTACATTCCATTTAAAAGCAGGGATATTTTAATGCAATCTAAAGTAGTTAGCCAACCATTTTTTGAATGTCTCTGTAAGTGTAAAATAGAAAAGATGAAATGGAGAATCATAAAGGATCAATACACAATATAAAATGTACCAAAATATTACACTAACCCCCATAGGGGTGTACAAATCTTATGTGTCAATAGAAGAAGACAGGAAAGATTTTTCCAATGACAACATCAAAATAAATGTATCTTTTAGACCTGAAAATATACCCTTTAAAGTAAAAATCTAAATATTAGATACAAAGCAAAAATATAAATATTTTCTTTTTATAATGTATCAGTAATTGAAATTGCCTAAGAAAATTGTTATTCATTTTTTTCAAGGATTGATGGTTTATATTATCTTGATTATTACAAAATTCTTAATTATTATTAGAGAAGTATGAAATTTTGTCTGTTAATTACAACAGTGAGAAAATACTGCTGTTCTATGAGAAAAATGCCATGTAATGTCACTTATGTCTATGTATATACACTATTTTTATATATAACATAAACCAAAATCATTGACAATATTTTGAATTAGAGAATAAATATTATAACAAATTTTATGCTGTAAATTTTTTTCATTTACCTTAAGGACTTCAGAAACTAAAGTTTTTAACCATTTACTCTTTTTTTCATATAGATAATGCTTTCTGATAGCTACTGAATCACTAAAGCTAGACATATCACAAAATATGTTATATTTTATATAAAATCACTGTAATGGAAAGTACAATTCCTCTTTTGAAATATTGTAACTAATATGTACAGAAACTAGAGTGTTTCCTTTTTAACTCTTCAATAATTACACAATGTGTTTTTTCATTATTTCACTCATTCTTGCATCTTTCATTCAAAAGATTTCCATGTTTTGAAATGATACCTCATCACAATTTTTACTTTTTTGCATCAATTTACTAACTTTATAAATATTGATGCTTGATACTCAATTTCATATGGACAAACAAAAAAAAAACAGGATAGCCAAAACAATTCTCTCCAAAATAGGAACTAGGGGAGGCAGTACAATCCCTGACTTCAAACTTTATTACAGAGCTATAGCACTGAAAATGGCCAGATATTGGCTTAAAAATAGACGGGACTACAAAGGGAACTGAATTGAAGATCTGAATATCAATCCACACACCTACAAACACATAATTTTTGACAAAGAAGCAAAAGATATAAAATGAAAAACAGAAAGCATATTCAACAAATGGTGTTAGCATAACTGGATATCAACATGTAGAATAATGAAAATAGATCTATCGCCATGCACAAAACTCAAGTCGAAATGGATCAGAGATCTCAACATAAAACCAACCACACTGAACCTCACAGAAGGGAAAGTGGGAAGCACACTTGAACGCATTGGCACAGGAGACCCCTTCCTAAATATAACCCCAGTAGTACAGACACTGAGAGAAACAATTAATAAATATAACCTCCTGAAACTGAGAAGCTTCTGTAAGGCAAAGGACATTGTCAACCAGACACAATGACAGCCTACAGAGTGGGAAAACATCTTCACCAACCCCACATCGGACAGAAGGCTGATCTCCAAATACACAAAGAACTCAAGAAATTGGTCATCAAAAGAACAAGTAATCCAATAAAAAAATGGGGTACAGATCTAAACAGAGAAATCTCAACAGAGGAATCTAAAAGGGCTGAAAGATACTTAAATGCTCAACATCCTTAGTCATCGGAGAAGTGCAAATCAAAACAATTCTGAGATTCCATCTTATACCTGTAAGAATTGCCAAGATCAAAAAATCACTGATGACAACTTATGCTGGAGAGGATATGGGGTAAAGGCTTTCATCATTTATACTGTCTACAAATATTGGATATATTTCAAAAATATAAGAAATACATACTATACGATTTGTTATACCTTTTGTGAATTCTAAAACACTGATAATTAAATACTCTTTTAGGTACCTAACTGAACTATTTATGATAACTATTTTAAGAATATCATTTAAAGTACTATTTGTGTGCAAATAATACTTGAATTGATAATTACTTCTGTAGGTTTGATTTCTCCCCCATGTCGCTTAGAGTTTATAAGTTCCTGTTTACTTATTCATCAGTCACGATTGTATTCATTTTTTATTGAGAATCAAATGCACCACATATAACCCCAAAAAGATAGGCACTGAATTATTCCTCCAAATTTTGTTGAAGCATTATACTCTACCTTTAGCTTAAGTTCTTTCACGACTTGTCAAGACCTCATATATAGTAGAGATTAATTTAAAATTGAATCTACATGGGTTGACTCTAAATCACTTTTACTTATGTCCTTAAAAATGGTATTCTGCAAAAATGATCACGCATGTGCACAGAGAACAAAGACCATATAAAGACAAAAGAATATGGCAGTCCCCTGAAATTCAGACTTATAAGACGTTCCCAATATACTTGATCTTAGGCTTTTTGCATACTGAACAATAAAGAATGCATTAACTATATTAAAATAACCTCTGAGATATTTTCTATTATGGATTCTTCTCAAACTAACATAAAATTATATGATATATAGTGATTTTCTTCACAAGAAATTTACAGGTAAATCATTTAAACTCTTTTTTGATCAAATAGTACAGACAGCAAGATTAATTTTTTTAAAAAAATAACAACTGCCTAAGTATTGAAACAGTCTGTAGAGGATAATGGCATATATTGCTTAAGTGTTTCTCCAATGTCCAATAAGTGTAAGAATCCCTTACATTTTAGAAATAATGCATGTAACAGGGTTTCTAGATAAATTTTGTAAACATTTAACATAAATGCAAAAGCGGTGAATAACAACATCTCAGGAAATGAGAAAAAATAAGTTATATTTGTATTCTCATTTAAACTGAGCCATGGTAAGATTAAAGATCGGTTCCCTTACCCTAACACATTTTCATGGACTAAATCATAACTCTGCTGTTCGTTATGTTCAAATTCACATTTGGGAAGACTTTTCCCTTCTCATTTCATTCACATCTTATACTGTACTCCGTTTCAAGAACATATGTTGTCTGGATCCCTTTGTTTAATTGAGTTGCTTTTTCAAAGCACATGTGAAAAAATGGCCAACAAAAGAAGATTTGGGTAAGTGAAAGTGACAAGAATTTGACAAGCCTGGGAGGTAAAACTTAAGCCCAGCAATCCTTGAAGTTAAGAATGTCTGTGGCGGAATGAGAATGCTAAATCGTGCCGGATGTGTTTGGCACTAAGTAATAAACTGATGCCAGGAATATGCCTACTAAGAAGACATATGCCATAGACCACACAATGGAGCTGTCACAAAGGAGTGGGCTTCATAAAAGAGGGAGGCAGTAAGGAGCCTGTCTCTTTTTATTTCCTTCAATACTCGATAATACACAGCCAGGTAAATGAACTGTTTGTGTAACAGGCCTTCTCAAAACTAACTTATTTTTTCTTGAGTTCCAATTTTCACTTTTTAAGTAACCAAGTCCAGCTGGTTCTTTCATGAATGTGTTCATTCAACAGAACATTCAACATAAAAGATATATATGGGGGACCTCTGAGTGCCAGCCTCAGTGTCCTCTCAGGGTCCAGAAGAAAACTTTTTTTTTTTTTTTTTTTTGGTTTTTTGAGACAGGGTTTCACTGTGGTTTTGAAGCTTATCCTGGAACTAGCTCTTGTAGACCAGGCTGGTCTCGAACTCACAGAGATCCGCCTGCCTCTGCCTCCCTAGTGCTGGGATTAAAGGCGTGCGCCATCACCGCCTGGCCCCAGAAGAAGACTTACAGCAAGCGCTGGACTTAGATCTGAGGGTGAAATTAATTCTCCAAGTTTATTTATTCTCCCCCTGCTGTTTTTTTTATATATGTTTTGTAAAGTTTCCAGTTTACACACACATATAAAACAAAGGAAAATCTCTGAACTCGGACATCCCTTTATCTTTGAAGGTCCCAAATGAGATCTATAAGAAAGACTCCTTTCCTGACTGCATGTCCTGACAAATTGAAGACTTTTGCAGGGAGGTGGCTTTTAATGTATCTCCGGAAACAAAGCAGAGATTAGACTGTGGGAACCAAGGCTACTGACTCTGTGACTAAATTTCCTCATGGAGGTCCCTCAGAGTGTGGAGGATGACCCAGTATACCAGTACATGGGAAATAATTGTGCCCAACAATCCATACTCTGCTGAATCTTGCACCAAGGAAGCATGCTTATGGCTTCACAAGAGACCCACTGTGAGAATCAGCCAATATGCAAAAGGAGGTAGGCCCAGCCCCTTGCGAACTGGGTTTGCCTCCATCAGAATACATTCATTTTAGTGGGTCAGCCTTCTGCCTCATCAGCTGAAATCTCACTGCAGAATTCCTGTGGACCACAGCAGATATAGCTTCAAATTTGTGCTAATCTATAGTTATAGAGAGGTTGAATCTTGAGACTTTCACATTTTTCAGTTTTCCATATTGCGTTTTTAGCAAAAGTTTGACTACATTTCACTACATATTTTATCTAACTCACTTAACAAGACTTTCAAGCATAATATTATAAACCAGTCTAAGACATGTTTGACATTGTAACTGAACATTGGTTTAATCACATAGAAAATTAGAAAATACTTACATTTTTAGATAAAGACTGGGTAGTACTTTTTTGTACTTATGTCCTTTTTGTGGTACTTTTTTAAAGAGGTAAATATAACTGTCTGATGTGTTGATGAAATTTTGCCTCAGTGACTGGACTGAAAATGTAATGACAGAAGCATGCTCTTTGTTTACCATTCCATTAAGTTCTACATATTATTT